CCCCGGACCCCCCCCTTCCTTGCGATGATTGGTCCACCTCCGTGTGATTTGCTTGGTCCTAACATATATTTACATATTTTTAACAAGCCCATGAATCATGTCGCACAACACCGAGCCACCAAATCACCACGGTTTACAGTATTGATAGGAGGTGTTTTGAGCTTACTTTCAAGATCAGTTTTCATTGGTCTATGGAATCTAATATCAAAAGCGGTTGTAATAGGACAATCGCGTAGTCACCTCAAAGTAGTGCCTTCCGTAACCCAGACGCGAACAAAGCCCCCGGCGGCAAGGGCCGTCCCCAGGAGAATCCCGACAATTGCCTGATCCCCAATGACCCTCAAGGCACACGCCGCATGAGGGGTGAAGCGCCCCGTCGCCAGGCCTCGAATAACCTTGAGCATCGGAACGGTTGCCGCCACCATGCCCAAGCAAAGAGTCCGCGGAAAAGAAAACAATAAAAAAAAAACAGAGCGGCCTGAGGGAAGAAAATGGTAGGTGTTACGATTTCCCTTGTGGGGATCGCGCACGCGTTGCACATCTGAACCGAGACAGCACACATACTTACGGCAAGGCACAAGAGCAGGCCTGCACATCATGAAAAAAGAAGGAAACCCAAAGGACGGCCACATGAGGCCCATGGAAAGGGTGCTGCAAGGAGCAAAGTATGGAGCACATCACGAAGGAGCGCGGCACAAGGCACAGCTGTAACCACAACCAATACGCACCGGAGAGCGCCGAGGAGAGAGAGGGCAATAGCTCCGCTCATGGCTTGTGCAACGCTTGTGGAATACCAACGATATCCAGAGGGAAAAACGCCTGGGGAACCCCCCCAAGGCCCGGGAATTCAACGGCTGTCAAGCGCTGGCTCTAACTGCGTAAAAAAGCGACGCACGGCTCTCTCTGAAGTCCTCTTCATACAGACGCCTCTTTCAACACCCGTGATCGTTTATCTTGCTACACTCGAACCTTGATGGCGCTTTGGTTCCCCGCATTCCCGCCCGCTCCGACCAGCATCGTGAGGAATAGGGTCACCACCACGTGCTCGCGCAGAAGGTCCTGAAAACGGTTAAAAAGATATTCAGTGAGAAACACATAAGGGGAAAAAGCTTGCTTTGAAAGCAAGACATGTGTCTGTCCGATGATGATGCCGCAACAAAACGGGCAACAAGAGGGGACGGAGAGACAAAAAGCGTACACAATGTGAAAATGTCAAAACGGGCGAGGCCCCTCGGGAGTCAGTCGCCATGAGAGGAATGCATGCCGGAATACGGAAACACGGTTGTAGGCTGCATGAAGCACACGGGGAAACGTGGTGCTTACAGAATGCTGGCACATTACCGGTTTTGGGAACCTCTCTCCTTCCACGTGTAGATTCAGGCGAAGGACGAACATGCGTATTTTATATTTTACGTCTGCTGTGAGGAACAGGGACCCCTTGCGCAAAACAGAAAAATGTAGTACATACACAGCAGTAGGTGTAAGCATGACGGTTACGCCGACGGGGTGGTTCGGATCTTTCGCCGACCGTTGATCGCGCTGGGCTCCGGTTTTGGGTGATCTCATGTACATGCCACGTGTGGTACGCCCGCCGAACCTGGTAGTGGTCGAGCACGAAAGAGCTCGACGACTGGAGGACCAACAGCCCCAACAGCCACCTCCCCCTCGCGTAGGACTCAGCGATTGGCCCGTCGAAATCCTCCTCCGCAAAGTCGCCCCCTCCCTCCCCGCTCGTCTCCAGCTTGAAACCAGTGTGACCGTCTTGCTCTGGCATCAACGCTGTTGACTTATTTGCCAGAACTTCTTTCCGCGGCTGTGCAGGAGCTGCCGGCAGACTCGGAGTCATATCTCTGTCCTCTCCCACTGCTGTCGTTGATCTGCTCTTCGGGTTTTCCATGGCTGCTGCTGCCTGTTCTGGTGGTGGTGATGCAAGCTCGTCCGTCGATATCGCAGACGCCGTGCTTTCGCACGCCCTGTGGCGTTCTGCCGGTCTCGCTGCGGGTGATTCTTCTTTTGGTAGTCTTTTCGTGTCCCCTCGGCCTCTCGAGGGGAAAGAATTGTCCGCACTACTACCGCCCGTCGATGTCGCCATCGAAAGCGCAGTGCCTCGGCGATCGCGGCCGCCACCGGTGCTTCTGTGCCACAAGTACCGAATAGACGCGTGTTGTTGGGGCTGTTTGCTAGAATGCCGACGTCGGTGTGTCCGAGGAGGCCACGGCAATGATGCGGGCAGATTCCGGCCTGTGCCTCCACTTGCTGAACCACCGCCGTTGATTCTCACAGCGGTATGCATGCGGGGGCTCCAACTTCGCTGACTTCCTTTTCTCCAGACCTCTCCTTTCACCCACCCGCCGGATGCTCTAGATGTAGCGACGACAACACCACGATCTTGCTGCTGGTGCTGCTGGTGCTGCTGGTGCTGCTGCTCCCACTTGCTATTAATGTACCCATCCCAGTCAGAGACGCCTCCTTTACCGCCTCCTGCGCCTCCAAGGACAGGCTCGCCGTCCTCACGACGAACAGCGCGCGGCGAATCCTTCGCTGCAGGTGAAGAAGACGGCGGCGGTCGATTCGGGAACATCGATCCCGCCGACAATGATCCATCGGGTCCGGCTATTCGGCCGTCAGCCGCCGAAGGGCAGCAGCTTGGTAGCCCTCCTTCTCGCTGCGACCGCTGCCCTCCGCCTTTCGCCGCTTGCCGCCACTGCTGTTGCAACGTCGTTGCTGGATGCCCGCCGCCACGGCTACGACTCGAACAGGATACCGCGCCTATTCTGTCATTGCACCGTACCACGTGCTGTAACGTGCTGCTTGACACTTTGGGTTGTCGACGACACCGCCGAGTGCCTGTTCCCGGCGCGAGCTGAAAGGATAATGCATTCGTAGCAGATCCAGTGATGCAGTAGGCCAGCGGCAACAGACCCGTGCATGATGCCAAGGCAGGAACGCAGCCAGCTTTCATCTCGAAATGACGTAGCGGCGCTCGCGTGTGCGTGCCTCGGGCACGGGACTGTTGACCGGGAGGGATGGGGTACCCCCTTTTTTCGTTTCGCGGAGCTCCACCGCCTCGTTGCTTTGGTCCTTCCGCCCCCTGCTCTGCGAGCTGGGTGGTGGTCATCAGCCATCCACGCCCAAAGTTACCAACGCACCGACGAGTTCAAGGCGGCGGGCATGTCTTCTTCTGTTGAGGAGCCACTGGATTTGATTCGGCTGTCTCTCGATGAGAGGATCCACGTCAAATGCCGCGGAGAGCGAGAGCTAAGGGGCAAGCTGCACGTGAGGTTTACCTCGGACACACCGTCCGTGATGTAGCACGAAATCGCGAATCGCTGATCACCGACATATTCGAGCTTCACTCAATGGATGTGTGGATGTGATTACGTCAACAACCTTGCACTGCGGCGGGGGGGCGGATCTAATCGTTCCGCTTGCTTCTGCGTGACATATATCTACGTTTTTCAAAAACTGTTTCTTCCGAGTGCTGTGTAGCGTACTGGGCTACAAGAGCAGCAGTACGTGTCGATGCCATTACTGCTGTGCACGATGCCGTTGTTGCACACAGCCATACAGCTGTCGCAGGCAGAGAGCAACAGCAAGTAGTCGCCAAAACCAGGTCCTCTGGCAGCTTTGCGTCGATTCGCTTCCCTTCCCTGGCTCTCTTGGCAGCTCTCTACCCTCCTCCGCCTGTCGCGGCTCCACTAAATATTGCCATACTGGTGAAGCCGCTGTCCACTGTTTCCACCATCGGGGTCTGTCGGCGATGCCTCTGATATCCAGTTGTGTACACGATGTATACTGTAGTTTCCGACCAACACGATAAATATCAAAGTTCACACTTCTGCTGTACGTCTGAGCAGGACTCTGTTGATAGCTGGTTGCGGGATTATCTGCGTTCGGGAACTGTTCCCGAAACCATTCCCTTTCAGAAAGTGAACATAACCTCACGACAATCTCTTTCGCAGGAGAGCGTTGCGCGAGCAGGCTCAATTCAGCGACGAACCCTTGGTTTTCATGCAATACTTGCTTCTTTTCGAGGGAAGCGTGTTGCATGTTTCTTCCTCTCGGCCTCATTTCACTTTGAACCCAGCCCTTCCCTCTCCTCCCCCTTCCCTCCTATTTTTTCGTGTGGTTTGTGTGTGCATGTGTACCCCGACCCCTTTCGTAAACCTTGCGCCTTGGTTATTTCACGGCAGTCGTACGACCAGCACTTGAACATGGTGTTGGGGGATGTGGAAGAAACGGTGACCACGGTGGAGGTGGACGAGGACACCTACGAGGAGATCGTAAGGGTAAGAAAAACTGAGTTGCAGGCGGGGCGTGTGCTCATGTTTTGCATGCCTTGGCGGTTAGACCAATGACCACGCGTTCTCGAGAGGACGGAGGATTGTTTCCACAGAGGACTGATCACCAGCACCGATGGCCAATCGTTATTTCTATCTTTGCCAAAGGTTGGGGGAGTCTCGTTTTGGTGTGATGGGCCCGCTTGCCATCGGAGAAGAACACAGAAAGCGGTCGCTTCCTTGCTTTGTACTAACTAGGACAAGGACTCGTTGATTGGTCATGGTATTGCTGTGCGTATTGATTCGTTCGGTGCTGGCGTCAACAAGGAAGCATGCTGAAATGTTTGTATGAAATGTTGCGAAAGAGCGGAACACATACCAGTGTGATCTGGAGCGAGGACAGGCAGTGATGTGGGCTGGCACATGTGAGCGAAACACAGGGGGGGCGGGTTTTCGGGCCGAAGCGGTTGTGAACCGATCAATGCATTGCCTGTTGAAGTGGACCAGTGTTCCCCGTGCTCCTGACGCAAGTCACCACGTTCCCGGACATTGAAAACTCACCACATGGTCGCCCTTTACCACATATCTAGAAAAATATTGCGTGTTGTGGGTCTTGTCTAGACTACTATTTGCCGTCTTGTCCGGGAATACGTTCCGTTCCTGACAAGCGCTGCCGAAGGGCGGAGGCAGGCGGGGTCAATAGAGTCGATGGCTAAGGTTTTAAAGAGCCGCAAGAGTGTGGGCTACATTTCCATCAGTCATTTCATTGTCTGTTGGTGTTGTATGCAAGCAAGCTTGACTGGACCTTATTTTTGTGTATCTTTTTGGCTTGCTGCGTGCCCTCCGTTCGATGAGGCGCGCGTGAAAGACTCACTTTCCTCGTTTGCACGGTGAGATTTCGCATCTTCTACCGTACCCGCCGATCCTTGAGAAGCGTTTAGATCGTACAGCATCATCCTCGGCGTCCCTCGAATCTGCTACGCCTCAACACTCACCTCCCTGCTCTCGACTCTTTTTTCCTTCCCCCTATCCCCGCTCACTGCTGTGGCTCTTGCTGCATCCGCTGGCCGCGGCACCACTCGGCTTACTTGGGACCCGACTCTGCCCGCAGACTTCAAAGCGAAGTATCGAGATGCTCTTCGTGCGGGGGGACGTCGTAATCTTAGTCTCCCCGCCGGTGCGCACAACATAGGGGATCAGTTTTGCAGTGGTGGAGCAGGTGCTTCTTCTCTGGCTTCTTTCTTGTTTTTGCGCGCTAGACCATGAAGGACGACCCGCTCTCTCCCGCGGGACGTTCTCTTTTTTTGGGCCAAAGTATTTTAAGTGGGTTTTGTTTGTGCCATCGCGGGGTTTGACGTGAGCTTGGGGAGGCGGGCGGCCGGAGAGCGAGGAATCTGCTGAATCAAGATAGCACGCGTGCGCGCGCGCGGGAAGGGCTAGATCATTTTTCTTGAGGGGTATGACACCTTTTACTTGGAAGCCGGGGACGTTAATCAGGATTCGCTCTGGGGGGCGGTCTTGGTCCTTCGTCACCGGCTGCGAATGTTTCGTGCAGCACAACGTACGTTTTTCGTGTCTGTTCATGGTTTTGTCATGGTATATTTCACAGTAGTTCGCAGGGTTCACTGGGTGAGTGGCACTAGATATTGTATCTTCGACTGTGGGTTGTTTTTTGTGCGTCTCGCGTAATACAGGTCGCCGTAATTTTGGCTGGCGATGCTGGTTTGGATGGCGTTTTCTGGCGTCTCTCCTCGGCCTGCGAAATCGAACAGATGTGCCTACAGAGCGGAAAGACAACATTTGTTTGCACAAGTTGTGGTAAATTTTAGGGGCAGGAGATATCATTTTTTTCATCTTCTGTCGTTTCCTGTCAAGCCGACATTGTTCCGGGAAAATGTTGAGGATTGGTCTTGTAGACTATGCGAAAATCGGAGATCCGCCCTTGTCGAAAAAAAGGGATTCGTGGAAGCATGAAATATTCTTCGAAGTACCAAATATACCCAACCGGGATTGCAACTGATTCAGGTCTTCACTATAAGAACCTTGTGTAGGAGACAGATGGAAGAGACGAGTCACCGTGGTGACGCGTCGGATCTTCCCGTCCATACAGGTCGGTCATGACGCGATGGATTCTTGTTGGTTGTTGGGCTTGATTGTCCCTGCGAAATGTCGACCATTTCTGTTTGATGGTACACCTGGCCACACGTTTTACCATCAAAACCGAATCAATGATTAGGCGGGGCAAGTCAGCAATCAAACCATCGCATCATGATGGAGAAGTATTCGCGAAGGCCTAACGCGTTCGCCACGGTCATCGTCTCTTCCGTCTGCTTCGTACGTATTCAAAAAGTATCTAGAAACAGAAAACATGAAGATGCAGGGAGAACGCGCAAACCTGCACAGCAGCAGAATGCCAGGTAGAAAGTCCTGGGCACGAGAATATTACCCAGGACACAGGCTAAACCATTATGGTAAGGTGCAGCAGCACACCAACCGATTGCGCACCTATGGTTGTGAGACACCCGTACTTGTAATGGTGTCATGTACGCTCCGTGCTCACTCCTGCCAATACGTCGTCCGGGCTTCTATAGATAGATACATGGACTATTTAGTCTACGTGTAAATAGCCGTTGAAGTTCCAAACCCGATATCCCAAGAGGTGGAGAGTACCAATAACCATCAAACGTTCGAGAGGTGAGCATTCGTGATGACCTTCCCCAATGCACACAATGATGGATATAGACTAGACTATCGCTAGACTTGCGCGCGAACGAAAACGCGGCAGGGGGTGAAGGGAAGATATCCAAGGAACATGAAAAGAGGCGTTTACATATCTTGTGCGCATCTGCTTGTCGGTTTCGCTCGCGGGCTGTTCGACCTCGCGACCGACCACAAAGCTTACGCGACGATCACCGGCTGAGATACAAATGACCCGTGCCCGAACAGCCGATCGCCTCTCCTCTCCGTGTTCTCCTCCCCTCCTCTGCTACTGTAAGCGAGCAGATTTAGAGAGTGAGGCGTAGAGCATTCTAACACGTGAAGCCTTCGCGCCGTCAAATCGCAACCAGCGTCCAATCCCGCCATGGCCGGAGACGAGGATGAGGACAAATCGGGCCGCGGGAACGTTGAGAACGGGACGACCGCAGGCGCAGAAGGAGACAGTGTACCAGGTACTGCTGCGGATGATCAAAAGTCAAGAAACAGCAGTGCACGAGAAGGGGACGAGAAGGCGTCGAACAGAGGGTCCGACGATGGTTCCGAGAACAGTGATAGAGACGCCGATGAGGCTGCCTCTCCGACAGAGGACAAGGATGAGGGCAGTGACGGAGAGGGTCGAGAGAACAACACGGGCGAAGCATCAGTATCCAAGCGCAGTAACGGCGGTGGTACTTCTGCCGGTGAAAGGGAGAAACAAAGCGGGGAGGGTGGAGCGGGCAGCAGGAGCAACAGCGTTGTTAGTGAAAAAGTCGGTGATGTTGCTGACGACGACGACGCCGAGAATAGCGAAGACGAGGGGGGAGAGGGCAACGGCGGTTCAACTGGCAAAACTAGCGAGGATTCTCCTAGCAGCGAAGAGAAAAAGTCCGGCGATCCCGAACCCGATGCGCAAGGAGGAGAAAGTGGTGATTCCGCCACGAGTGCAAGCGCCGAAAAGGGGAAGGACAGCGAGGCGGCCAAGAATGAGGTCGATGCCGAGGGAAAGAACGACGGCAGCCAGGGGACGAAGCTGGAAAAAGGAGTAGCTGGTGAAGGTGGGGCAGCAGGATAGGACGGCTTGCAAGGTGTGCTAGAAGAGAGATTAATGGTAAGGAATGAAGGACTTGAAACTACGGTTGTCTGTACCCACCGCTGTAGACATCCCCTCATGTTTGTCACTGCAATATGGACTGCTTGTACCGGATAGTGTCTCGACGTCCCCGGCTTCGGAGTCGTTCCGTTTAGACGGCACCCACAGCGTAGGTATGGAGTGCGAGCGACGGGGACCGGCCTCTACTCATAAACGAACAGTTCACCTTTTCGTAGAGAAATCGGTCGACGGGGCGAACCCTCCGCAAAGGGACCGGCGCCATTCGCACGCTTACCAAACACCTGGCGAACGTCTGAAGAAATAAATAGCAGCGTATCCGTTACCCCTGGCATTGTTCAGGTGGTGCTCTTGCCATCGATGTCGCAACTGCCAATGGCGAGAAGAACGTCGATGGCGGGCCTGCGTCCGATACCGCGTCCAAAGCAAGCAGCTGTGTCGAGGAGGACATTGACGAGATGGAGGTGGATCTAGATACGCCCTGGGAGAAACCATCGACTGAACGCGCCAAGAGAGCGGGAAAGGTGAGTAAGGTGCATTCTCGGACGAACGGCACCAATGCGACGGTCAGCTGGACCGAAGTCCAATTGATTGAACGGGCATTGACCTACAAGCGCACTCTACAACTACGGTGGTAGCCTAACAAAAGGCTCGCCACATCCTCACAGGGATCCTTGTTGCTGCACATGCGTGTTGATGGCCGAAGAGAATGCTCGTACTGCGTACAGTAAACGGCAGTTGGAACAGATCCTCGCATATAAATTGTTCTGCCTAGTTGTCTACTGGTAGGGGGGAAGTACAGCTTCTTACCCTCTAAAAATGCAGTAGGGCTGAAACACCGCTTGAGATACAATGTCTCTGTCGTTTGATCGCTTATGGCCTGTGTTCCCACCCAACGTTGCCACAACCCCGACCTCAGCGGATGATCTGGAACAACGGAATGAGGTCCTACTTCAGCACCAGCATCAAGGAGATCGGTTCCATGGGCGTGGGCATGTACCTCTACTTCTGGATGGTGCGGATTGTTGCCATCATGTTCTGTATCTGTGCATTCCTTTCCATCCCGGCGATGGTCCTCAACCACGAGGTGAGACGAGTTTAACATCCCGCTCATGCCCACGTCCCACAACATATTGTTAAAGGCACGGTGGAGTTGGGGACGGGGGGAGTGGAAGTCGGATGCCCACCCACCTTTTCGAGAGGAAAGATTTTTGTTCGGCTGTGTATTGATCGACGAGGAAACGGTTGTCCTTGCATATTTCGGGATGCTGTCAGCACACCAGGTGGTCCACCACCAAGCAATCTAGATGTTTCTGCAAGTGGTGGTTGTAGTTGTGATCAGCCGTACATACCTCTGGCTGGCTCCGTACCAACGCTCAGGGCAACGCGGGAATGGCGATATCGGAGACCGATGTGGACTCTCTCGGTCTGGTGGCGCTAAGCTACGGCAATCAGGGGCTGAACCCCGACCTCGTGGTGGAAAGTGGGTGTATCTCGAGCAACGGCACTGTCGATTGCACCGGGGAAACCGTCCAGGTATGAGTAAAGTACCTGGCGTGGTGGGGAGAGACTTAGTGGAATAGGCGGCTGCTTAGCTGCGAGCCGGTGTGACTGCGTGACCTTTTCTCCAGTTTGTCGTTTATCATACCATTTTAGTCAGGAAGTCGGCGTCTTGTCTTTCACCGTAAGCGATGGGATGACCTGAATTTTGGTTCTCTTCTTCCAACGGCCTGACCTGGTTGACTGGCAAGCAGTCGTTTGCGTCAAGGCACGAGAGACGAAGTTTAACGGTTTTATCGGGGTTCACGTTGGGACGCCGTATTCATCTCCTAGCCCGCAACTGGCCAAACGACGTTTCGAGGAGCTCGCCTACCCACCGCAGACTGGTAGCGTTGCTCTCGGTTTCACGTTGGTCACCATCATGACGGTCAAGCAACCGCTTGCGCAAAGAAATGTTTTTTCTGTGGGCTTTTATATTTATGCTCTACCCGCTGGACATAATTCAGAAGGGAGAGCAAATAGTAATCTATCGTTCCCAATTAAATGCACCCAACCGTTCCCTCCATGCACCTCTCCCCCTCGGCCTTGCCTTCCTTCTCCCTGCCCGATCCCCCGTATCCTAATTGCAGGTTATGGGGGAAGCGAAGGACGTACTGTGGGTCGGCTACATCCTGGTCGGGGGCGAGATCTTGATCGCCATTTTTTTCGTATTTTTTATTGTGATCTTATCCGAGAGACTAAAGGTACGCACGTTCCGAGCAGGCTCTGAACGCAGATGATAAACCTCAGAACGAATTGTTTGTGTCACTCTTCGGTTGCCTAGCATACGCATACGACCACTCGAATGGGAACCACAGGTCTGGAGGAAAAAGAAAGAATTGTCTCACTTGTGAAGGTGGCCACGCGGTGTTCTTTGACCGAAAAAAAATCGAGACCGTGTCTTGAGGAAAATTAGCCGGTCTGTATCGAAGAACGAAGTGAGTCTTCAGTCGAAAAGCACACACACTCTGATATCGAAACGCGATACTCCCGGCTGTGAACACTTCGATTCCCGCAAACCGAACCATATGCCTCCAACTAGCTTGTATTGTTATTTTTGTTAATCAAGCTCGAGAATGAGACTAAGCAATTTCCACCCCTGTTAGGTCAGGGAAGCATACAAATAAACGTGTGCAATTCGAAAGCATCCAAAGAAGTAAACTGTCCGATAGACACATTCGTAATCTATTTCGGTTTCAAACGAAAAATATGGGACGTCCGTCAAACCGCCCGTTTCGTTCGCCTGACAAGAACGCCTAAATGGTACACATGCCACGTACTTTCACCTTATCAATGATCAAAGGCAAAAATTGACGAGATCGACGACGCGAACGTCACGCCCGGGGACTACACGGTCATGGTGCGAGGGCTTCCCGCTGACGTCACCAAGGAAGAGGTGAGTCTTACAACCATGAACGAAATAGGCAGTCTCGAAAGAGTGTAACGTTCTTATTGATAGGCTTGCGCAGCCTCGCTGACGCCATTACAGAAGAACCGAGCGCTGACCATCTGTCCAATAGGGTTACGGCATGCGTGCTTCTGTACTTTGCTGCAGTTTCTCCTGGCCTTTCAACCGGCATGGTCCTCCGCCAGGTCCTGCATGCAACCTACACGTCGATGTACCCGTAAAGTTGTCGCTGGACAATGGGCGGTTCAGAACTAGTCTAAGCATGTCCCCCATTACCGGACAGTGCATGGCGAACTGAGTGCATCGCGTCACCCCCTGTCCCGAGGTGCCGCAGTCGAGCACCGTAACGTTTGATGACATTTTGTTGCACACGTACACCATTGGATACACACAAACTACCGTGTACCCCAACCCCTCCCCTTCCCGTATCCATTACCCGCCCGAATCGAAAGGTCCGCCAGCACTTCTCCGACCTATACTCCTTGGTGACCCCGAGTCCGAGCTACCCGTTTCTGGGGGTCTCCACAACCGGGGTTGGCTTGTTCTGGGGGTCTACGTTGGGTTTATTGTTCGGCCTACTGGTGCGTACGTTGAGGATTTCAATAGTCGACCGGGGTCCATCTCGTAGAGCATGTTTGCCTCCTTGCCGTTACTTTTTTTGTGGCACTCCATAACCACGGACAACTTCTCTGGTGAGCATTCTAGAGATGCTGCTCAGAGGTCGGAGCAGCAGCTTGCCTGTCGACTACATTAAGTGATGCGCTCATATTTTGGGCGTTTGCCCGACCACCCGGATTCGTGGCTAGAGAAAATATTCCGCAGAGCGAGAATCCTTGCCGCGTCAACAGTATGGGCAAACGCACTACTTTCTTTCCAACACACGGGAAACAACGTGCCCGAAGCAAGCATGCACCCCATGTGCATCCACCAAACAAGTAATATTTCGCGGCAATGTGACCACCTGTAAAAGGGATAAGTTGTTGACTCCCCACCAACGAACCGACGAACCGCAGGTGGCCCCCTCGGTAGTCGAGTACGCGGAACTGGGGACCGGAGCCTCCGCCTTTGGAATGGGCGTGTGCACCGTGCTCCTCTGCGTGCTGTCCGTGTACGCGATCGTCGAAGGGTGCGGCATTGGGCGTCCGAGAAAGAGGGACACGCCTCTGCAGGAATGGGAAAAGGGGAGGTGGGTGCCAGAGGCCAAGGAGATGAATAGGGAAGCGGGGATGAGGGAGGAGGGGAGGAGGGGGCTCAGCCAGACGGGATGCCAGCGACCAAGGCACACGGAAATATCGATCAGTGGTTTGGTTGCTCCTGGACACGGACGACTAGCAGCGAATGGCAAATTTTGCCGCACTCGGGAGAATCGTTTTGACACACAGTTAGAATACGCGGTCATCGGCTTGACCTCAACATGTGTACCCCGGGTATTGGCAGGGGAAGGGGGGGGTAGAGGCAATCTCCTTGCTGGTGAGGGACGTCCTGTAGGAACCACTCAGTCCTCAATCTTCTTCCCTGGATGTGGCTGTTCCGTACTAGAAGTGCATTCCCTCCATCACCCACCCGCCGACAAGCTTTCGGCGGCCGTTGCGTCGCGCCCTACCTCTCCAACAACAGGAAGCAGCGGGAGAAGAATAAGAGAAAGGCGGCGGCCTCGTCATCCAAGTATTCAGCCAGTTCGGGAAAGGTCATTCCAGTAGAGACTGCTCCCGATGCTGCCCCCGCCGCCACCGGCGCAGCCGATGGTGACAATGTCATCGCCAAGGACTTCGATTTCGCGGCGACGGCGAATGGGAGCGCGGGGGAGATGGCGAGGTTGGAGGAGGGGGCTGGGGGAGGGGGGGGTGGCGAGGCAGGGGGGTTGACCCCGCCGTTGGCCATGCCAATTATTTCCCCTGCGCCGGACGCGAAGCCGCCCGAAGACCCGCCGAAACGGTAAGGAGGACGGAGTACGCTCGGATGTGGGACGAAATGTTGTGAATGGTGACTTCGCAGACACGTTGGCACCGCAGTACGTAAGGTTCGACGCTCTCCTCTCAGTCTCAGCGAGATATATAACGAACGCAAACACAGCTCCGCTGTGGGAGGGGTCTGAGTGTCCATAAGTGAGAGTGTTGCAGTGCTAAGGGTCAAAGCAGACTAACGACCCACCGTTCCAAGTAGGAGAACGACTGCAATGAGATTCCGCGCACCTACGAGTAGGTTCGTGAAAAAGATATTCGTATTCATGGTGTAAATCGATTGCATTTAGAAGGAGAAAGAGGGAGAACTTTCACTCTTATCAAAGCGTTGTCGTTAAACGGACACACTCCTATTTTTGTGCTTGGTTGTTGCCGACCGAACGAAAAACACACGTGCTCAGGAGCTTCCACGACGAGCGACCGCCGGACCCTCTGCCCTGCCAGAGCTGCCTAAACACCCGCGACAAGTCTTTCGTAGGCGGATGGGTCGCCGACGTCGTGCTGGGTAACCCCGTAGGGGATGTTCTCATGGGCTTCATGGACCAAGAGGTAATCCATCTTGTTTTGGTTTCTGTGCATGCCAATCAGGTGTCACGTCTCTCAGCACCCGCTCGTTGCCGACATGGTACCGCGTAACTCTCTGTGTTTTGTGCTTGGTGTAGGCAGGTGGCACGGGTGGTGTGATCAGGATCGTCGGGCGGCCGTCTGCATTTCCAAAGTAAACAAACTGTTCGGGGTGCAATTTGTAGCAGCATCGTTGTTGCGGTTGTGGCACGTGGATCATTGAATGCATTGATTCTGAAGAGAGTATCAGTGGAAGCGCCTTGAAAAGCCGCACCGAGCCGAAATGAAGTCGTCACAACAAGCTCATAGCAACAAACTTAAGACGAAAACAACAATCCAGAAGGACCAAGTTTTTCGAAACGACAAGGCACGCAACACGATTACAAGTCACGTGTCGGCAAGGGCGGGCATCGATACCGTACGCCCTCAGCCAGGTATTTTCATTCAGGCCAGAAAGTGTGATACTTGCTTGGCGCTAACACACCGCGGTAACAGGCGATACGTCCCTCTCCCTCAGGAAGCGTTAGCCAAGATCAGCAAGGCCCGGACGGTCGTGCGGCAGATGAAGACGCTGGGGAAGGCCAAGAAGCTCGCCAAGGCGGAAGCAAAGCTCGCGAAGCTCAAGGCGAAAGAGGCACGTACACGAAGGGGGGGAGGAACAAGAGAAAACGTTGTACAGGGTTGTCAATCAAGTTTCATAATGGTGCTACTATTTTGTGTTTTTGTCGGACAAGAGGAAAGCCGTTTGGGAACGAGGCGCGATGGTGATGGTCGTGCATGACCCACCGAGAAAGCGGAGAGAGAGAAGTGTACGGTGATATGCAGGACGGAATTGGCAAGGAAAGCGGGCCAGAAATTGAAATTAGAAAGAAAGTGGCAGTGAGCATATTGGAAAGCTGAAGGTCAGCGAGGTGAGATGGCAAAGGCGATAAAAGCATTGGTTCTCGGGGTGGTGATACTTGATTGACAAACCCAAGCTGCGGCGATGAACGGAGTGGTGTTGGGGAAAAATAGCGAGCCGAAACTAGCATTGTGCAAGGCTAGACGGGTACAACGGGGGCTGGGACACAGCCGGCGAACAGCGAACGCATGTCTGCATAGGCAACAAATGACGTTAGATCGACCTCGACCTGGCGAACAACAATTGATGGCAAACCTCTCGGCTGGAGGAAAGGCAAAAAGCTTTGATCACGTCTCCAAGAGAGCTTACGTGCATTCCCGCATGCAACAAAACCCTGCAGGCTGCTGGCCCCTCCTTTCTTTTCCGCCTCACTCGCCCTTTCCGTCTTGAAAAAACTCCCTCTCTACTCGAGCGCAGGAGGCCCTGATGGCCGCGACCCGGAAAAAGCGGGATCCCGCAGCGTTAGAGTCAATCTCGGTGGCCTTCGTGACCTTCGAGCACGAGGAGAGCAAAAGGAGATGCCTGGAGGACTACCGCTACAGCCGAAGGAGCTTCTGCAGGTACGCAAGTGGGGGACGCATGCAGTGTATCCCGCAAGAACCCCCCTCTATCCATTGGCCACAATGCCCAGCCGCCCGAAATAGAGGTGATGTCCCTCTTCCAAAACTCCTCGAGGGGATGTTTCCAAGCCTGTTTCAAACGGCCGAAAGCAGCTACTGACCTCTCGCTGTTTCCTTTTATCCTCTCTGCTACCCACTTTCCCACTCCGCTTCCTCTGGTTCCCAGGCGGTTTCAACCAGTGAAGCTCCAGCTCTCCCGCAAGCCGGCCGACGAGGAGGAACAACAGCAGGATGGCCAAGCGCCGCCTGGCCGTCGGGGAAGAAAGAAGAAACCGCGTCCGCAGAGGTGGCGTCTCAAGGTCTTCCAGGTGAAGCGTAGTTAAACGAAACGCCAATGTCGAGTGTAAATGTTATTGTATTGGCGGGTGAAGGAATGAGTGTACGTGTGCTAAGTGGCTGCTCCGGATGTTCCCGACGGAGAAAGGAATGGGGAAGCACAGAGTCCGTGATTTTCTTCCCTTGCATTGTGGCATTGGTTAGTACAGAGAGCCCCCCCCCCCCCC